AAACATAGGAACTATCTACCTCAACCCTATTATATTAACAAACATTCACAACCAATACAAATCAAGGATGCAACAAATGCAACAGAGTGCCCTGAATGTGACTGGTATATATTTGCCCATGCTTCAAGATTCATTTGTAAACTAAATTTGACTTGCACATACTGTTACTGTGTATGTGTATATTTGCAGAGGAAAAGTACTTGTTAACTTCTACTCCAACAATACTGTAGGAAATAAAATATTTTGTATCCTCCAAACAAAATGCATCAAATTATCTAATTTCCATAAGGTGTATACTCATATTAGCTCCATTTTAGCAATTAGGAAACTGAAGCATAGTAGAGTTACACAACATTCTTAAAAGTTACAAACCTTGTGAGTACCCAAGTTGATCTTCTAATTCAGGTAGGATGACTCTAGAGATCAACTTCTTAACTATAACTTGGAAATATTTAATGTAAAACTTCTTCAAACAATTTTATTAAATGGTTTCTATTATACATGATAGGCATTTATGAGTTTATTCAGTTAATATTCACATTCCTTGATACCTCAGAAACTTGAAGATCTTTCCACAACAGTTTCTCATTTTAAATAAGTTATACAAGTAATAAATCTTACTAATTTTGAAGATATATTTTCAAAGTCTTCCTGTCCAATTTTTATGTCATAATGAATAACTTCATTTCAATGAGTAAAGTGATTTGATTAAATTAACTACAGATCAATTCTCAATATATCCTTAAGAAAGGACTGCTGTTTTTATGTCACAAGACACTATGCCTGTATTATAATTACTTATTTAATGTCTATGTTCACTCCCGAGCTATAACCTGGGGATCACATTAGTCCCATTATATTTATGTCCCTAATGCCCAGTGTAAGGCGCAATGTATAGCACAATGTAAGCATTTATAGAACAAATAAATGGGATTTACTCTTTTATCTCTTATGTTTATTTAGTAAAGATCTCACCATAGGCAGTAGCTTAATATTTCTAGTAATAAGGACTTCATATAAAAATTTATGTTTTATAATTATTACCAATATATGCCATACATTTTTAAGAAGTGAAAAATTTTTTCAGATAAATTCTTGTGATGTATATCAGCAAGACTCCTTTATAAATGTCAGAGCTTCCTAAAACTAATGAATGTTGAAAGGTACCCAATTTTATTTTATACATTTAAAAGGCTCTTTCATATATTGAAATGAAAACATTTTTTCCTTCCCACAACTATAAAAAAGAACTTCTATTAAAGTTTGCCTTTTACATTTAAATTTCTGATTGTTTCCACTGAAATTAATCATTGTTCATTCCAATTCATTTCTTCTGACAATAGTAGCTCTGAAATTCAATACTAAACTAGTACATTACACCATATGCAATCAATACATATGTACAGATGTACTGTCTGTTCTACAGTACAGACACTATAATATTTGCTACACTAAAAAGGTAATAGCAAAAAAGTTGATGACTATTGGTAGAACTCTGCTTTAGAAACAAGTCATTTGTAATTCATTTTAATAAAAGATATGTCAAGTACATATGACATTGTACTGTCATGTGTAACTAATTAAAACAAATAAAAAAAGAAAAAAAAATGTTGTATATCATCATCTGTGACATATAAATTTTGTGGTTTAAATTCTTTGTGTAGCTATATACCTAATTCTCCATCTGACATTATAGACAAAGCAAAAGGAGATGTTAAAACTGAATGTTAAGAGCACACTGAAAGGCATGATATGCGGCAAGAAATGTTTCCCCCAGGCACCCTTCTGAAAGGCCTAGAAAATACATCATTTCTCCCAGACTAACAAGTAGAACTGTCTCAATCTCTTGAGCTAAGATACTCAAATCAGAACACTTGAAAGTCAGTTTGGTGAATTTCTTTTGAATATGTCCCAAAAAACCTAAAGTGAGTAGTTTTCAACGTAATCTTAAGTGAAAAGTTAACAATGTACTTAACTTGGATTTCAACATTGAAAAAGATTTGTATTCATTTAATATTTAAATAACTTACATATCTGAAGAATAAATTAAGGAAAAACCATTTCTATTTTAAAAGTAGGGTTCTGTGATTTTAATTTCATGCTAAATTGTATGAACAGATTCAATTTGTTTATACTGACAACCGAATAAAGAAAATCTAGCATAGTAGTATGACTATAGTTTACAATTACTTATATGTTTTAGGACTATATATAAAAGAAGAGCTCAAAGGCTCCAAACATAAAGAAAGGATGAGAGGCAAATGCTAATTATTGTAATTTGATCAGTACATGCTATAATACATGTAAATAAAAATCAAATCAAATCCAGTTTTCGAAGAGAGTTTTCAAAAATGTTCACAGATTTCATATATGAAAACAACTAACATGATTATTTTTCAAACATCACTAGTGTCATTCCTTCAGATAAGATTTTATGACCCACAGGAAAATATAAATGGTTAGGATCCAAATGTCCTACCATTTTATTTTCAAAGATTTAAGAAATACATACGCATTAAAATAAATGAGAAACTTAAGTCTCACATTCTTTTCTTTTAAAAAGTAGAGTTGATTAAGAAAATCATACTGCCATTAAACAATGTCTGCATGTAACAACTTTAAACCAGTTGAAGAAATTGGGGTCTTTCTTCATGGCATTCATTCCTGAAATGTTAAAGGATCCTATAAGAACTTCTCCTTCATAAATAAAATTCTCACATAAGAATTCTGCTTAGAAAAGGCTTTATTGTCTTTAAAGAATTTTTTTCTTTATAAGAAATCTAAGAAAACAGAATAACAGCATAAAAGTATATTTTCTGGGCTGGGATTGTGGCTCAGCGGTAGCCTAGCATAGGCGGGACCTGGGTTCGATTCTCAGCACCACATTAAAAAATAGATAAAAACGCATTGTGTTGTGTCCATATTAAAAAAAAAAAAAAGATTTTCTCTCTCTCTCTCTCTCCTTTTTTTAAAAAAGTATATTTTATCCATTGTTAAGATTTAGTTTTTCCAATGCCTTGCTTGGAAAAATTTCAAGTTAACAGAATTATGAACTTTAAAAAGTTAAAAAAAAGTTATCACTTCACTTCAAGAACCAAATGTATGGTCCCTGTGCTACATTTATACACCAATCATCTTGCTTCTACTCTCATAACAACTTAGGCCTTTTCATGGTATTGGATTCTCTTCATAAAACAGAGTATAATTTTACATTTGTTTGCATAATTATATCTAGAATGTGATTTCCATCTACACTGAAAGTCCAAGAGCAGTTAGGGAATACCTCTGTTTTTAATCTCAGCATTTTATCCTCAGTACCTAGCTGAATGGATAATATATTAGATCGTTTATAATTATCAGATAGATGAATTGAGGATGATTGTTACCATCTAGAGTACTTAATTCACTATCAATATTTGAATGATTAGATGATGGCAGATGCTGGGCTAGGTACTTGTCACAAGTACTATTCCTGATACGTTATTAAGCTCTAGAAAACACCCAAAACCACAACCAGATTCAAGTAATATCATTTTGACACCTCTAATTAAGCAAGAAAAATATAATCAAAACTATGTCACTCTCAAAAGTCCTAAATTTGAGAACAGAATTATCATCTTGTATTAATATGCTAAACTTCATCAGTCACTATATAATTATCATAAAACTAATATATCCATATAGACAGTAAGAATAAACTTTGATAAACATTAATTTTAGATTTCCTGTCCAAAGTCAACATAAGAGATCATGGATCCAACAGGACACAGATAACCAAATAAAGTGATATGTAGGGACCAAATACATTCAAGATAAAAATATAAGATCATGTGAAGTATAAAAATGAGGCAAATTTAGAAGTTTTTCTAGTAAAAATGTGTGAGAAAAGGAAGAGATGTCTGAATTTATCATCAAAATTTGATACTATACTGTATTATGAATAGCTACTTAACTTTGAGTATATAAACAGAATATCATGCAAGTTTAACATTACCCCCAAAAGAATAGTAGCAATTTGTATAACCACATTTTAAAGGTCTAATGTTAAACTAAAAGGATTTTAGTATTTGATGCTATAATTTTTTCTTACATTATTTTGTAATGGAGGTTAAACAAAAGTACCGAACAGATAACTGCAAAATTTATGACATATACTTTAAGCCCTATTAATCCGAAAAAAGATTTTGATTTGTTTTATATTTTTGAAAAATTTAAACTTCACTTGAGCAATATTTATAATATGCTATTTTTAAAGGTTATTAGCTATAGAACTACAAAAGCTAAACCTGTTAAAATGCACATGAACTATATAATTAATTTTTGGCACATTGTTACTTGTCAACATTAAGTACAAAAAAACTTTCTGCTCATCTACAAAACCATTCTTTGATTTTATTAAAAGTATAAGTAATATACATATAAATTTGAACATTTGGCATTAACTATCTCATTTTAGAGTTAAAATACATAAATTGATATGCTTTACAGATACAAACACATATACATAATTTAAATAAAGATGCTTACCATTGATTTCCTTTTGATAGTCACTCCATTAGTCTTTCTTGACAGTGCCTTCCTATGTCAAGCAGACAGTAGCCAAATCACAAAATGACATTTGGATGCTCATGTCTTCAGATGGAGTTTTCGGCCAAATGCCAGTTGAGAATTTAAACTGAAAACTAAATTACCCAAACTTTATTAAATTGTTCCTGTACCCACCAATTGATAATGAGCAATGACTCTAAACTGGAAAATAAAGTGACCATGATCTTTTTTTAAACAGTTATAATATGATGTTTGAAAAGAAATGCTATGACCAAAAAATATTCCCTATATTTCTAACATCTTTAGAGAATAATTTTAAGTAAATTTCAAACTCTCCTCAAGGAATTTCCTCTAATTTCCTATAATCCAAACTAATTCATGATAAAGATGGTATTTATTCAACAATGTAACAAATTAAGAAATCCCAAATTTGAATCCTATCAAACACTACCATCACCTAAAAACTGTAATATTTGACAACACATTGACAGTATTATTTATATTTATTACATATTTACTAGTTCGTAGTTGTAGTGTACATATCATAAAAGAAGTGAAAAATTATTAATAAAAGATGCCCTCCCTGAAAACATTTTTGGTACTGAGAATTCAAAATATATGGCTACCAATTTCTAATTATAATTCAAAAATGGCTCACTTCATTTTCTGCACTGAGGCTCTATTTCTTTTGATCATAGCTACCACTCTTTGTAGAGCTTGCCAATTATATATGATTTTTTATCATTATGTTTTTGTGATTATGCAGTTATATGGTATCAAATATTAGGCATATTAATTTTTTTCCAAATGTTGCTAAGATATACCTCTGAGCCCTTATACCATTTTTGCTTAGCTATAAATTGGTACCTTTCAACAGTTATTATTTACCCTCAACAATTTAAGCTGAAGTGAAAACACTAAAGGAAAGGAAAGAATGTCCTTATCTTCCTAAAGCATCATGTTTACTTCTCATTAAAAACAGTTTCTGAATATTAACTATACAAGGTCCAAAATTAAGTGCACGTAACTACAAAGCTCCAAGACTGAGATAGTTGTAAATTTGATGTCTACACCAAATCTTGTATTCTATGCATGATCCTCCTTTCACTCTCTCCCCCTTTCACAAATATATATACACAACTGTCCAAACTACACCCTGACAGATGTTATAACTGGCACCAAGGTGATGTCAGTTATAATGTCAGAATAATCAGCTTATGACTAAATCAAGAGAAATTGACTTCAGAAAAAAAATCTAGAGTTTAATAAAACTATAATATCTTTGAGTTAGATATCCTAGAAACAGGCTTATTACATTCTATTCAATAATTTTAAACCAAAATCTTCAATAGTCATAATTCACAAATATTCAGAGACTTAACAGTATTCTATCTTAGGGGCTATGAGATACAAAGGAAAAATTAGTCTCCTTTCTCAAGGAGTTTATATTTTAAAATTCAACAGGGTGTATGCGTGTGCAGGGATGGAGTGGTGTGCAAAGACATACAAATAGTTAGATTTCCAAAACAGAAGCAATAATGTTTTATTACTTATGGGGCTAATCTGAGAAGAATTTTTATCAAGAAGCATTTTTAAGGTAGAACATATTCAACTGCTCTTTGCTTATAAAGCCTAATAAAACCCACAAAACAAACAATGATTAAATATAGTATGTGGCTGTGGAAGTATTCCATGTCCTCACTCTGGAAGATCAAGGATAATTTCCTTAGCCAAATGAAATTAGAGAACATGGATATATCCCTTCCCTGCAAAACATTTAAGCTTTCAGTCCAAGAGAAGCAATTCTATGTTCATTTCAGTCATTCTAATGATTGCAATCATAGTAGTCATTTTTAATTTTTAATAAAAGAGACAATACTAAAAAGCCACAATCATATTAACAAAATCATTAAATAAAAAGCACAAAATTATTTTCTTGGTGTGAATAACATTACTGATAACATATGCTAAACAAGAGTGCCTAATTTCGAAACATTCATCCAGAAGATGAGCAGCAAGTGTGTATGTATTTTTATATACTCTTAATAAATTTAACTAATATACTCCTGGGAGTTTTAAAATTCAACACTATCTCTTCATTTTATAATTAAATAAACAGGCCCAGTAGTATGACATTATTTGCCCAAAGTCACATAGCTAGTCAACAGTAAAATCATAACCCCTTCAGAACAATACATTCTTCATTTACCATAATCAAAGGAAAGAAATAGTTACACCTCGGAAAAGGAAAAGTTTTGGCAGGAAAATTTCAACTCTTTAATGTCCATGTTAACCTCAAATATTCATATCATCAGCTCCACAAAATGCAAAGAATCCATTTATAAAGTTAGAAAAAAAAGGTACATAATCAACTTAAACCTGATACCTACCCACTCTACACTATCAATTTTAAGGTAAGCATTCAGCCTTCTATGTATTTCTTACAGACAAAGAACAAGAGTTTAAAGAATATATAAAATTTTATCAAAACCCTCTAAAAAAGATAATTCCCTCAAATGTTTCATGATGCTGCATTTTTTTTTCACTTCTGGCATCATACTGGCCAGTTTTTCAAGGCTTCCCTAACAATGAAGAGCGTTAGAAATACAGAATCCTATCTCAATTACTTCAGGTGAAATAATTCATCCAAACTATATATGAGTGGGTAGCAAGGAGAAGTTTGAAAAATTTATAAATGATACACATAAAAAGAAATCGTTGAAACACTGTTTAGATTAAGTTGTAAGAATAAATGTTACTTATTCAATTTAGATTACACTGTCTACTTGAAGTCATAACTCACAAAATGTTTCTAGCAGAGTACAACATACTTTTTAAAATTCAACTAGTCTCAGAAGTCAGAGCACTCATTAGGCAACTCTAAAATCATTCACCAAAACTCTTCTGGGTAGTGACGTTAAACAAATCTGATATACCCTCCCTCCACCTGACCATCACATCTGTTAGCCTTACCTCTCTGCCCAGAGCCTATGAATCAAAAGGGCATAAAATATCTTACTTCTTATTACTAAAAGACAACATTTTAGCATATAAACCAAGATCATCTAGTCTATTAAAACAAAAAATACACTCTTAAAGGAGTTTTACTTATATTTCCTTTGGTCACCAAGTGATGTTAACATTTCGTATACATATGGGCAGATACGTTTTTGCGTGTGGGTCTAGGTATAAATATACATATATATTTTTCTTCATTTTCCCCCTCTGGTTCTACCAAAATGCCACAGTATATGCATGAATGATCAAAACTGGTTAAATAAAAGCTATGAAGAGTTATGAATTTCACAAGAGTAGATACACAATTACTAAAGCACTTACACAGTATTGTTTCAGGCAGCACAGCTGTGGCCCTAGTTAAAGCAAAATGGCCTTGAGAATGCTGGGCTTCTCAAAAAAAAAAAAAAGTGTATAGAGTCAGTATCTATGGGTTCCAAATATTCAGGAGAAAAATTTTACTGCTGCTGACAGGTAAAAAGTAGTCATACCTATGGTTACATCTGTACTGAACATACCCTTATCTTGTCATTATTCCATGAACATCACAGTACAACTACTTACATAGTATTTACATTGCATTTGGTATTACAGGTAATCCAGAGAAGATCTGAAGTATACAAGAGGACTGGGTAGGTATATGCAAATACTACAGAGACCATTTTCTATAAGGAGCTTTGAGAATATATAAATTTTGGTACCCAGAGGATCCTGTAACCAATCCTCTTCATATATCAAAGGACAACATTACTTTGTTTCTATGTTACCTTTTACCTTTCAACTAAAACAAATGTACTCACTAGTTGTAGAAGGTCTAGATATTACTAAAACAATCCAATATGATTAGACTTACTGACTGAAAAATAAGTTTTCTAAATTTTAACAATATTTTTCCTGTGTCTGAATATGTATTTTCAGTCTTCAAAAATGCACCAGCTCATTTTATTCATGTGATCAACCAAATTAATCAATAATACTGATATTTATGAATAAAGATATCTTAAGAACTACCATATTTTAGTGATATTGAATTAATTTTTATAACTTCACATTAAAATAGGCAAATGTTATTTCTGAAGTATATGAGCCTCTACCTTTTTTTTTTTTTTGGTACTAGAGATTGAACGAAGGGCCATTGAACCACTGAGCCACATCCTCAGCCCTTTTTGTGTTTTATTTTGAGGCTGGGTCTTGGTAAGTTGTTTAGGGCCTCACTAAGTTGCTGAGGCTGGCTTTGACCTTGTAATCTTCCTGCCTTGGCCACTGGAGTTGCTGAGATTATAGGTGTGTGCCATTGTACACAGATATGAACAAATTATCTTAAAAACATAAAGAGAACCAGCATTTGTTAAAACACCTCCTACACTTGATGTAAGTCATGTGGTTTTTAAACCTCATAATTCAGACAGGTAAAACATACCCATTTTACAGCTATGAACTTGCTTAAGGTCCCAGAACTATAAAATGGTCCAGAGATAATTACTATCATTATCTGTCTAGCGATAAAGTCAAAGTTCTTTCTTCTTATAATAACTTTCTGGAACACTGCCAAGTATCACACTACTGAAGAGGCTAAGGTACACAGATATAAGGGCATAGAGTACAGCATAGGCACTAAGTGTAGTAAAGGCAAACATCAGAAAGTCCAAGCACTTTATTTACTGAAGTGCTCTTCAAGCCTATTAAGAAGCTTCATTATATGACTTTATTCACTCATCCCTTCTCTGTACATTAGTAACTATGCAAATTAATATCAAATTTTGAAAAAGAAGGCACTATACTAAGAACTGTTTTTTGAAAGGATAAATGGCCCTATAACATACTTTAGTAGTCCATGAAGATATCATGTTAACAATAATTCATCAATAATACCAACTTATCAAAATAATAAAGCTTTCTAAGATATTTTACAATAAGAATGGTTGAGATAAAATGTTCTAGGAATCAAAGAATATAAGCACTTATTTTTGGAAGTTTTGCTAGTCAAATGTTCAATAATGCTAGATGAACAAAGCATTATCTAGAAACCTCTGGGAAGTGTCTATGCTAACATTTTATGTTTTCCCAACTGGAATATAGAATGCAAAATCATTCATCATAAATTTAGTAGAAAAGAATA